TAGCCTATAGAAATTCCTATGTGGTTGGAAGCATTCTATGTCTGCCATTGACCGGGTTAGGCACCCAGAAAAGTAGGCATTCCAAAACAGACCCCAAGTGGTAAAACATTACTACCAAAAGCCGAACTGCTAAGCAAAACTCCCCAATCTGAAAACCAGTAAACAAGCATGACGTCACATCTGCCGCTGCACTGCCTGTCTGCGCAGTTCCACCCTCCCTGGGAGGGGAAAGGGGGAGCCCCCCAGACCCTCTGCACCGGCTATCCAACCTCAGTTCTGAGGCTGTTGTGCTAGGTGGCAGTCGTTTGGCTCTGGCTCCTGACTCTGTGCAGTGTGGTGCCCTTGTGGTGTTCTGCTGTACTCGCCTAGTTGTGCTTGCGTTGGTTGAGCTCTGGCTCTTTGGTCAGAGCCAGAGCCTCTTGCTGTGTTGTGGTGTGCAAGCCAGGAGTAATTCACGAAGTACGGGGGCTGCATGCGCCTAGGGCCACCTTCCCTAGGTGCCCTGTAAGAACTGCCCTTGCAGTTTGGGGTTGCCTTCCTCAAGTCGTTCGGGAACTACCTCCGTAGGGATCATTTGCTGCTCGGCAATTGTCCGCCCTTGGGGTCAGCTGGGGTTTTCATAGCCATTGTTGGCTATGTCCTCCTACCCAGGACTTGGGTAGGTGGTGGTATCATAGCTGGTAAGGATGCAAGATACTGTGCAGCTTGTCTCCTATTATACACAGCAGCTGGTTCTGTTCCTCCTTGGGACATTGTGCTTTTGCTGGTTTTTCTTTTTCTTATGTTTGATTTATCTGATGGGGGTCTGCCCCCTCGGTCATTGTCCACCCTCTGTTATTCTGTTGGTCCCCCGCTAGGCCCCCGTATTTGTACACGTCGTCTGGTCTGGTCTACTCGGTGATTACTCTGCACATCGTTCGGGTTTTCATAAGGGGCTTTTGCCTTTTCGTGGTTCGCCCCGTCAAAGAGGCTCGCTCTGTTTGCATGCGCCTCGTCCCATGATTTGTGGATTTTCTGGGTTGTTTACTCTGGCCTGCGATGGTGTTGGGTGGCTCCTCTTCCTTCGGAAGGTTAGGGGTTCACAGAGCAGGCCTCTTCTGCACTCTGCCAGGTCATCTTGGAGTGGGTGCACTTGGGCATGGTCAAAACGACCCTGTCCCTCAGGTGGGTTTCCCGCCTGTTTCCAGTTCCGAAATGGGACTGTGCAGATCTGAGGTTCATTCTGGACTTGTCTCGTCTGAACCCCTGGGTCTTTTGCCCCTCCTTTTGGATAACCACTCTTCTCCCAGGTCTGGATTCTTTTGGAGCTGGATGCTTGGATGGTGTCTCTGGACCTCCGGGACGCGTATTGGCATGTCTCGATTCATCTGGGGTTCAGGGACTGGCTCAGTTTTGTTGTGGGACGTCGGCTTACCACTTTCGTTGCCTTCCATTCAGCTTGAATCCGGCACCTTACGTTTTCACATGCCTTACCCGGGTTGTGGTGACCTGCTTGTGTTTGCTAGGAGTTCAGGTTCTGGCCTACCTCAATGACTGGCTGGTATGGGCTCCCAGCTAGTCTGTGTGTGTGCTCGCCAGCTCACCAGGTTTGGATTCTTGGTGAACTGGAGTAAATCCCATCTGGTTCCCTCTCGGGTTTGGACTTGGCTGGGTCTTGTGTGGCACTCGGATACCTTCCTTATTTCTCTCTCCAGCGTCATTGCTACGACTGTGGTCCCGCCTTCGGCTATTTCTGGGGGCTCCCAGGTCTCTCGTCGGTTGCTCAAGCAGCTGTGCAGGAGTCTGAACTTTGCCGTGCTGGTTTACCCACTGGGTCGGGTCTGGCTTTGGCAGCTGTTCTGGTTTCTCCAAGGGTGTCCCTTTCACCGCTCTCACGATTTTGAGTTAGATCACTGGGGGCCTTGCATAGCCTGCTTCGTCGCTGGCTTTCTCTTCGGGTTTTTCGGAGTTCATTGCTATGGTGCCTTCCCGAGCCCTCACTTGATGTGTACACAGATGCGTCGTCTCTTTGCTGGGGTTTTATAACTAGTGCTCACCAGGCCAGGGCTGGTGGGGTCTGTCCGTCCGTCAGGCTCGCAGCACGGTGCGGGAGTTTGCGGCGGTGTGACTGTCGCTTCAGATGTTTGTGCTGCTCAAGGATCGACAATCCAACTCCATTCGGACTGTGCCCTGGTGGTTCATTGCCTGAACCGAGGGTGGTTTGATGCAGTCCATGGCTCTTTGAGGCTGGTCGCTTTGGGTGACTCATCTGCTGAGTCCCTGGGGTTAAGGCTCTCCTGGCAGTTCACATCCAGTGTCCAACATCCTGGCGGATGGCCTGTCCTCATTCATTCCCCTTCTACGGAATTGACAGTCAATGCTGACTAGTTCAGTTGGCTCTGCCAGACATACGGGGACCCGAAGGTGGACCTCTTTACGTCGGCATGGTCGAGGCGTAAACAGGCCATCATTCATTACATTATATGTGGTGCCCTTCTCCGACTGTGGGGCCATCAGGTTC